CAATCACATCACCTGGGATCATTCAATGACGTATTGTAGGAAAAACAGAAATTATCCGATATGATCAAAATCATCGCCTGTATCCATGTATCCACTCAGTTCCGGTTTCACTTGAAACCAAACGGACTGCATTTGATACATTTTGATGAGAAACAATCTTCAATTCAATGGGAGTCCTATGAAAAACTGTCAGGAGCTGTTGTTGGGACATGGGTTTTTAAACTTAAGCCATCACGTGACGTAATTTGGAGATATTGTTGTGTACAGGAAATTTAAAAACCACCTTTTTTGTTAGAATTTCTCACTGATCCCCTATAAATCTACTTGTATCCAACCTTTTACTGCGCTCAATACGAAGCATTCATTTACAACCAGTCCTTACGATCTTTCACAGCGTTCTCCAAAGCAAAAGCAGGTGATTAAGAGAAACTGGACCGAGTCTAACGAGTTGTGTTGTGTAGGGAATGTAGTAAAGCATTAGCGCGAATTTTGTAATAATGATATATTTTTAATATCATTTATTTAATCAGAAAGTGCAACGCAAAACGACGAGACACTAAAGTGGGTCAACATTTGTCGGAAATAAATCAAGATAAGGAAGGAAAAATTGCTACATAGTCAGTTGGCAGTGGTGAATAGTCAATGCCGATTTTCCGTAATTTAACACATTTATCCTCCCAGTGACATATATAGATATATATATCTATTGTGTAATTCTGGAGCTGGAAAAAGATTAATCTAATAATTAACCGTAGCGCTCTCTACCAGTTTCTTGATTTATGCATAATTTAATTTCTTCCCTGTGATCCTATTCACTTTGATCAAACATTCTTTCACCATTCATCGATATGTTGATGAGCAGGATTATCAACAGATATTTATGCACCGGTTCCGTTCGAGCCTTGTTTATCGTCTCGTTAGACAGTCTTTGATCATTCAATGTACTAGATGCTGAAACCGTTTACGCTCAACCTCCTATTGTGAATCACCGCTGATTGAACCCAACCGCATTGGCAGTGAGGCTGCGCAATCATAGTTGACAGCAGACTGTCCTTGACCTACGCCACGGATAAAAATAACGTGGGCAACCACATAGAAAGGGCACAGCATGCTCATGACTAACAGATGAGGTCACGAAAATTATCAGTAACAAAATCAATAAAAGTCCCTCTGATAGTCAACCATAATTGCAATTTGGTCATGATCTAATCATTTTTCGGGCACCTGTGGAGTCGAGTATGATTGTGAACCCAATGGTTTCCTGTGAGCAGAAAAGATTATTAGCTTCCAACCTTCGCAAAATGCTTCATCTTACAAATGAAACTTGTTAATGGGATGTAATCATCTGAATCCACATACTGTGGTCACATGCACTTCACGAGGTTTTTGTAATACATAAAAGAGGGACAGAGGAACAGAATTGCAAGATTATAACAAGTAGAATGAACTGTCTGACCTAATGGGCAAACCGCTTTCCTAGGATAAGAATGTCATTCAGCGAATTTCCTCCACAGCCCGATATCCGGTGTGTTTGAATTCGTCACAGATTATGGTGATTGGTTGCCTGATAACCGCTCTCTATGCATGAAAGGTGGAGTTTGCTTTCACAATGTGAACAGCCACCTACACAGGTCTGATATGCATGACGTTAGTAAATTGGATTGGTAACCGTGGCGTGTTGGTTACATCCGCAGACAGAGTTTCACGGGAGTATATAGTCGTGTGATACACAGACTGATGTGAGAGCAATTCGGTGCGCATTCTCGTTAATCCAAGTGCACCTTGAATCAAATCCTTTTAGTAGCTATTGAAATTTATATTCGGATCGGTGAAAATCAATGCCAGAGAAATCAGAAAAAGTAAGTGTTCAACATTGTGCGGCTACTGTCAAGTTCGATCTCAAATTCGAGATTGTTGGATTTATTTAATTTTTACTTTCAAGTTATAAATGTTGCGTATGCTTTAAGTTAGAAAATGCCTGACCTATCACCTTCATACAGGTTCACAATAATGCGGACAAATAAGTAGGCTATTCACAAGCAACTTCTCACAATAAATTCATCACAAACAAGTTTTGATCTAGCAGGTCAAGAGATTGTTGATTGAATCCAAAAGCCTGCAAAATGTTTGAAGTTTATGAGATTAGATTAATTATATGATGGAGCTATTGAAATGCAAATTTTTCAATTTTTCCTCATCATCGGTTAATGTAGACTATAAAATACCATCGAACAAGCCATCATCATTCAGTCCTGATTACTAATGTGATTTTTGGTATGCTTTTTAGTTTGTTTTACTTTGTCACTAGTCTGCCTGGAACAGTGGGAGTTAGATATGGTCGATATTCGTTTTTAAATGACACTAAACACATCCAAACGATATACAAAATAAAATAAGATAAATTCTGGGAGGTTTGATGAGCGTACTCAGTGAATTAACTCTAGCTTTTGCATAGATGTAATTTAAAAAAGTATGCTAATATCTATGTCCTACGCAACGCATCATTATCTGTGGGTGTTTGTTTGTTTTCATGCACCGAAATCAGTGGCCCAGGCCTTTGGTATGTAAATTTGAAGACTGAAAAATCATGATAAAAATAAATTATCGCACACTTTGTCCCCTCTTATTCATATCACATTTGTTACATTCGTTTCCTTGAAAACCAACAAATGGCTCAAGAAAATGGAACTGGATTGTTTCTTAAGAATACGATAGATTTATTTACTCCAATGTGGGAATGTCTTTCGTTCGAACTTGAGCGAAAAATACAAATCACATGCACACAAAGTAAGTCTGTGAAGCAATTTTACCCAAGAGCCTAATTTTTCTGAGCATGAAAGGGGTGTGTAGAAAAATCAGAATAGAAAGTGAGTTTGGGGCAAACAGAGTAAGCTACACTGTCTTGCACATGGGCGTGATTTGATTCAAGTCCCAATAGCAAACACAAAAGCACCACTACAATCAATTCTTTTTCATCACAGGTATCTATCTATAGAGAAATCGTTTATTCACTGTTGTGGACTGAGAAACAATACTGTCGCACCAAATCAATACGCACACTTCTCACATGTATTCCAGTGTGTGCTCTTTTTCCGTCTCCCTCTCCGTCATTCACGTGATGATCATGCGAGTTAAATTAGGATGCAGTGAAATGTCACGTGTTTCTTTTAGTTTGTGAGAAAGTGAGATGATAATCGATTTGAATGAAACATTGTATATGATCGGTAGGATGCATAGCACACCCCCAACACACACGCCCTATTCAGCGAAGTAGGTCAAAATCTTAATTGTTCTGCTGTAATCCGAACGTTACGAGAGGGAATGTCAAACGTTTAGTTTCGAAGGCGTATTTGGATACAGTATTTCAGGTTTACCAAATCCGATTTGCATTTCCGCAAGAGTACCAAATAATTCCCTCTATGTTAGGTTTCACTGATGCACCTTAATCACTTCAAGGGGAAATCTGGCAAGAGAACACGAGAAAATGGGTTATTTTTTTCCAGCCTTGATGAAACCGGTTTTGGTTCGAGGATCCTATATGTCTCCAGAATATGAGCGATATATGTTTGACAAGCCAGGGTGAAAAGCGTAAAGTTTCAATAGGTGATGCCTGTTGTTTGTGATACATTCGGTCTACATGACAAATCCACCTAAAAATGCCACAAAACTAGTAGTCTAACAAAGAAGATTCCTTTGAAAGTAATAAAACCGCAAGATGCGGACCGTTAGTCGCTTGCAGCTGCAATAAGTGTCTGTACCCCCAATGTGACCTTTCGCGGTTTAAGCCCCTGTACGGACACGAAAACGGCAAACCCCGCTATCCGTAAGATAACTGCAAAACAGCTCCTTGTTGGCCATTACACCAGTTATTTACTAAGCTAGGTAAGTTGCAAGCTTTTCTGGATAGTTTGAGTGCTAGTGTTGCCATGTTCGGTATGCGTTTTGCACCTTCAAAGTGTAAAATGCTACTACACGATTGGGTTGATCCAGCACCCAGTCTCATCCTAACTGGGGAAGTAGTAGAGGAAGTAGACAAATTTTGCTATCTAGGCTGCTATATCTCACCTGGCGGACGCATCACAGATGAAGTGTTGGCGCGCATACAAAAGGCTCGATTGGCATATTTCAATTTGAGACATCTGTGGTGCCGTCGCGACATCCGGCTGTCTGTGAAGGGTCGAGTGTATGCTGCAGCAGTTCGGCAAGTCGTACTCTACGGCGCTGAGCCTTAGCCACTAAGGGAACAGGATAAAAATAGATTATCGGTGTTCGAACACCGCTGTCTACGTAGCATTGCACGTGTCTGGTGGGGTAACCGGACTAGCAATGCTGAGGTTAGGCGTAGAGTTTTAGGCAGTCGCGGTCGTCCACTAGAGCAAGTGATCGCCCTCCATAGATTACGCTGGGACATGTGTTACGTATGTCGCCAGATAGGTTACCACGGTGAACGATGTTTGCCAAGGCTGGTAGCGACTGGAAAAAGATAAAGATAACGAAGACCTGGCATGAGGGTATGAAAACCCTAACCAGGAGACTGGGTCACATAGTCCCTGTTAGGCTCCCTGGCTGGGGACCTCGGAATGATGATCGCCGATGGTTAGCTACTTTGAGTGATATGGCTGAGTGTCGCAAACAGTGGCGCTCGTGCATCCACTCGTTATTTTCCCAACACCACTTTATATGAATTCCCCACCTTTTTCGCTTGAATTTGCTTCGACATTCCAATCTACATTTTGCCCTTTATCCAGATGGGCAACCAAAAGACAGCAGTCAAAACCGACGCACGATAGTGCATGGTTAATGGTTGTAAAAACTGAACTGAAATTTATTTACTAATGCAACAATAAAAGTATGTATGATCTATTCCTCCTGGGAGTACGGTTCACGCCAAAACCTCAATCTTTAAACACATTTGTCTGTGAGTTTGTGTACATTGTACAAAATTAGTATATTTGATCGACATATTGCTTCTTCTTCTTTCTATATTCTCGCTTCCGTAGGGCCCGAAGAATCATGAGGAAGACTGTGCTTTGGTTACCACAACGGCCCCATTACACCGTAAGTGCAATATGTCAATGTCAGCTTGCCGTATATTCTCAATTTCTGTTCACCTTTGACTCCAATCCCATTCAAAGCCGCAACACCTTTCTCTTTCTACTGGCAAAAGTTGGTTGTACAAAGTTTCCTATTTGTGCCAAAATTCCGTTTAGCCCAATCGAGGTTCCCGTATCAATTGTTCTCAATAAATTAGGGATCACAGTAATTTCTGATCAAACGATTTCCAGTTGCACTGAGTGTTTATATCCCATTTATATCTCACCAAGTAAACTTCATTGCGCCTTCACGTGCTCTATGGCACCACGCATCAGGCATGAAATGCTACAATCGGATTCCAATTGATCGTCTGAGAAACGCCTAACGACACATTGTGATTTATATTCGTTTTACCGGAAGCCAAGCAAACTGTTCGGTAGCTATTGAAATACATATATTGTTTGTCCGCTTCTTTTCATTTCGAAGATGTATCGTACATTGCGCAATGAATGAAATATTATCAAGATTGCTACTTGTGGAAATGTTCGATCGTTGTTCTAAACGAGACTTCCTCAAATGACAGTTCTCGAGTATATTTTTTGAGAAGACTGATTTCCTTGTGTCTAATAATAATTTATCAAATAATATCCCGTTAAACTTATTTATCGGGTAGATTAGACGTTTTGAACGTATAATGGATACCCGTTTGGATGCATAAGAGTTCACATTTTGTGTGATACACCAATTATGAACTCCTCTTACATTCATGACGATCTTTGATCTCATATTAGTATCGCGTAAATTAAGATATGGACAGGCCGCTTACGGCTCCAGTTTACAGTTATCCGAATAGATGTTCAGTGGTCCTATCTTAGGAGACAATCGCAGCAATAGCATTGATCAGGGCTATCAGCCACTTTATAAATGCTGTGTAATGAAGCTTATAGTTTCATTGATAACTGTATAACCATTGCTAAAGTTACATCCACATCCACGCAAAGTACAATAGATAAAATGTGGATAGGGTCAGACTGATGATAGTTCTAAGGCAAAACGCATGTGATAGCACATGTTCTCTGCTTACTTCATCAATTCGTAAACCATAGATGGGCATCAAGCTTTCGCAACGAAAATTCAACCGGGTGAGATAAGTTAATTATGGATATCCGTGGGGACAACTTTTAGTAAACGCGATCAGGAGATAAATAATTTCTGTTGCTATAAAAGAAAAACAATTTCGCACGTTTTCTATCTGAAATTCAGAAAATGAAGCTGCGCGAATATATATGAAAATATCTATCGTCACAGTTCTGAGAAACAGCAGCTACTGGTCACTTTTTCATTTCCCCAAAAGCTTTCTTCTAAATCTCTTTTGTTTACACGTAAGTGAATAAAGTAAAAGGGTTAAACCCTATAATCCAATGATGTTCTTACTGTACGCAGAAAGAAAAGGGGAACATTCAAGAGAACAATTTTGTTGATTCCGCGCTTAAAAGCAAGGATCTTATAAGTTGGAGGGAAGACTAAGAGAGAGTGCTCTACAGTTGTGCGGTTCGTGGGAAAAAAAGATGTTTGAAAGTTACAAATGCGACACCTGGAGATTCCCACTTTAAGCAGGTGCATAGCTGCTTGTGTGCGGGATCTATGTGGAAGAACAAGCGACAGAGCGACAGAAGTGGTAAGTTTGCTAGAGCAAACTCCAAAGTATTATCGATAGAATAACTACGAAGAAGCAACTGCTCAACGGTCAGCTGGTGACTTCAAGTTGCCTGTTAGGGACGAATGGCCTCACGTTGAACCCGATCAAGAAGAGTAGAATGTAGACGAGGCTCCACACCACATATAAATAACTATAGCATTCAAGTGTGGAGTGAATTTGAGCGTTGCAAAGAAAGGGGAAATGAGTCCAGATGAAGAAACGTCTTGGGCGTAAGAGACAGTCGAATTTGAGCGCAGTGCGAAAGACAAATAGGTAAATAGTCGGTGGCCAAAAGAGAGAAGAACGTATGGAAGGTCGCAATAGGTCGCATGAATCTGCGCAACAGATAATGTTCAAATTGCAATTTCACGAAGGGCAGAACTATAAGTGTTTATGAGAAATTGACATAAGGGAAGTTTTACTAGTATCAAAGAGAATACGGTTTCGACGGCCCCAAAGAGAAATAAAGCTCAAATCAGAATTTAGAGAGAAACTGAGGGAGGGCAGGCAGGCCATCACTAGTGCTGCATTTAGCGATGCGTAAAGAACAATGGGAAAACAAGGATGTAGGGTAGCTTCATCGGAACAGGCTTGAATAGGATTTAAAGCCGAAGAAAGAAGGTCATCAATAAACATCAGAAATTAGGGAAGGGGAAAGTATAGAACCTTGGGAATAACCAGCATTCACAGGCACGCAACGAAACATGGTCTCATCTGCTGTAACGGAGACGCTGCTGTCCTTGAGATAGCTTACTGTCCAGGACACAAGTTCCGAGGGAAAGCCAAACTTGAGTGGTTTAGCCGGTCGACTCGCGTGTCAGACACGATCGGAAGCTTTCGATATATTCGACGGTACCATATGGGTTTCTCCGTGGTTGCCAACTGTCGCTGACTATGCATGTGAAACGAGCGTCAGAAGATCACCGGTGGATCGATGAGATCGGAAACCGTACTAACGGTCGATAAGCATCTTGTTCTGTTTCAAGCGGCGGCACCTTGCTTGCTAGGTTTGGTATTGGGCGTTCAAACGCGTTTTGGGAGATTATCAGTGGTGGTAAAACCTGGGTGTACAGTCCCAACCCAGAGACCAGGCGACAATCGGTTCAGAGGACGCCGGTAGGTGGGGCGCTGCCTAAGACAGTCCGATATAAGTGCAGTGTGTCAAAGCATATGGTGGCTGTTTTCATGGTTAAAACCGGTCATGTGGCTACTTTAGTGCTTGTCCGCAAAGCAAAGTCACCGGAGACTGGTACAACACCCACTGAAAGTGATGGTGACTGTTGTCAGGCGTCTTCAAGGGACTCGAGCACGAGGGACCTTGCTGCACCATGGAAAGGCACCTGCACACAGGTTCCAAGTCGTCGGAGATTTCCTGACTAGAGGATGCATCCAGTAGGTTGATCACCCAACCTACAGTTCCGCGTGACTTTTACGTTTCCGAATTTCAAGCGCACAATGCGAGGAAGCCGAAAATAGTCAATTACATACGCAGTGGACATCTTTATTGAACCACTCTAAAGTTAACCGCTTCTTGATGTTCGAGCTATTTCACTAAATGGCTTGAGCACATGGAACTGTGTATAGACGCTGGTGGAAAGTACTTCGAGCAAATGTAATTCTCATTTTTGTGTAGCAAATAAAAAGTTTTGTGCATCCGGAAGCGTTTTGCTCAACCCTCGGACAGTTGTTGCGTGCTTGGAAGAACCATCGGTGGGAGCGGTGTGAGTGAGAACGACGTCAGCAGCAGAACGCTAATTTCTTTTTACGAACAGCGCAATAACGGGCTTTCATATACCATTCTAGAGAAAGAGGCATGCGGGTTTAGTGAAATGAGGATTAAATAGATGCATACCTTGCAAAATAACTGAACATTTTCGGATCCAAGATACAGACGGCCGTGGAGAAGCAAAATTCATTAAAGAGGTTGAAAACCAGAAAGTTATGAAAGCGGTACCGTATCTCCACAATGTGTATTTAGAATTAGGAGGAACGGGAGCATTTTGGTAGAGACCCAAATAACACAATAGTTCGTTGAACCCAGGGGAGGACTTGCTGAATATTTAAAAATAATCGTGGGTGGGATGTGAGGACAAGTTCGAGGGTATGAGCGTGATAGCCAGCCCGGTAGGGGATACCGGTCGGAAAATCAATCAGTTGATGGTGGCTGTTTAATGGGGCTAATGATTCTGCTTCACTTCTAAAGGGCGATGTCTTTGAAGAGTGTAACAGTCAATCCCTGTTATGGACGATAAAATCACTCAAAATAACGAATTCAGCTTTGAGGTTTGTTTCAACTATGCTACGAATTTCGGCAGATAAAATATCAAACAGTAAAGAGTCACTACTATTTTGGGAACGGTATTAATTGCAAAAGTAGTGATTGAAAGAAAAGTGAAACATGAAAAAAATTTTCAGTGAAATTTACTGTTGTGTTTCGACTAGCCGTACGAATGACACGAGCGACTCTAGCTCAACCCCGCACGATAATGCGAAGAGAGAACACAGCTTGAGACCACAGTCAGTGTGTATTCGTTCAGTTAGATTTCGATACGCAACAATATAGCACATTCACGTATACGAAAAGACTGCCCGGGACGTCCCGGTCAAATTGTGGCCTAGGCACATCGATTGATCAATCCAATCGATCCAATCGGACTCAGCTTGTCTGGAGCGTTGCGAGTGTGCGTGTGACCTGACTCGGATGCCTGCGTGATCTGACGGGTTGTTTGAGCTCTGTGCCAACAGTTACCCCACAAGAAATGAATGGATTCCGAAGTCGGCGACCATAATTTTCAAAGAATTAACGATATCAAATTTATTCCATTATGCTTGGTTGGTCAAGTGCCCCGTGTTATGTATGTCCGGAGGTCACGTGTTCAAATTCCATCACCGTTACACAACCCAAACTTCTACATATGTCCTTAGGCAGTGCTTAATCGACCTTAGGTTAAACTATTATATAATTATTGAATGAATGTAAGGAAGCTTCATCACGAACATTATCTATGTTGATTGTAAATTTGTACTATCCTGAGTGAACACTGTCATTCAATATCTAGCCGCATTCTCTCTGTGACTAAACAATAAACTACCTGAAAACAAACAGTACCTAATCGCATTTCACAAACGTTTCTTTGTGAATAAGAGCGCTCAACTTCGTTTTATTTTTCTTCTCGTCTACAGTGAACCAGTCGCAGGTGCAGCTTTTTGAATGGGCGAAATCCGACAGAGTGGACGCTATCAGTGAGCTCATCGCGCAGCATCGATGCAACCTGAACGTGCAGGACAACTACAATCGGACTCCACTGCATTTCGCAGCGAGCAGCGGAAACCTGGCCACAGTCAAATTGCTGGTCCAAAACAATGCGGTTATAGATGTGACTGACAAAGTATGTGTTGTCTACCAGCACCAATCTGGGGTTGCGGTTTAGTCTGTTTGACTGCTAACCTTAGGATCAGCTGACTTGTGAACCACGTAGTGAGTGGATCCTTAGAATTTGTGGTATGGATCGGCTGATAACAGTTCACGTGATTTAGTCACCTGAGCGGACAACTAATAAGAATGATGGTCAGGCAGGGGGTGGCATTGAGAACAAATTAGTATCTTGGTCCATATAGAATAAGCCGAGAATGATGCGGTGAAGATTTCAAATGTATTTGTATGGGATATCTCCGAAATCAGGATACACGTAAAAAATGGATGATTATTTGGCAAGAACAGACTCGTATAGACAGTTATACGAGTGGTAAAACAAGTGCCCAATTTGGCACTGCGGCGAATGATTAATTACATCAATTTATAGTTTAATTTCGAAAACTTGCCTTCTTTCAATAAGAATAATTACTTATTGTGCAGTTGTAGGTGAAACCCTGGTAATAGTAAAATAAAATCCTGTTTATTGGAACATTCAGATTATTTAGGATTGCGTATAACAGAAGATGACTGCGTTCAGAGAACGTGGACAATGGAGAGGGTTTTCAAAACATGGTAGTTGGGAAACAACCTAACTCGGAAGCATGATATTTTGTTGCCAAAATAGAACTAAATGTCAAGACTACAAAGGCCCAAATTTACACATACCATAGGGACAGTGAACAAAAAACAGTTTCCAGAAAAACCCGGTCTCATCGGCATAATTCGTTTCCTAAATGTATCTGCATCACTTTATCTTAGGATACCCCGAATATGCGATGAAGTGTTATTTTTCTCCCCTTCGGAATGCTGTGAAAAAACACTCAGTTGTCCTCTGTCATCCGAAAACCAGAATCATATACAGATTAACTGGGGTTGAAATTAGCAAGTCCGTATTCTTCTATTTCAGCCTAAATAGACCCGCTTATCTTATAAGTACTTTTTGATCAATCAGTTTTAGGTTTTGGATGTGATCAGTCTGGGATTTTATTTCGCCTTAGAATTTATTTCATTAAACTATTAAAGTACGATCAATTTTATTGTTAGAGAAACTGAACAGTGACCTGCCTTGTTAAATCTGTTTGAAGAGAGGGCACAACAAAGCTAGATTCCACGATTTGAGCCGAAGCAGATTTTGCTGCAATGCAATATGGTAGTACATTATGGCAGAAAATAATAGGTTATATCGTTGAGCAGTTCATTAGATTACACGCGAATACGGTATGGCCGAATTATCACACCTTTATCACCGCCAAGGCAGTGACAGTGTGGCTGACAGTTCTTTTTGCATCTACAGATCAGGTTTCCATTTCCTGATTGCAACCGACTCCGGAAATGTAAACAGTCGGAGGCTGGTTTTAGCATGTAATCTTAAATCGGACCATGCTTCGTCATCAACAGATGTCGAGCCGTAGATGATGCAGGCTGTTTGTGTGTTTGGTGTCCTTGGGTAAAGGTGAGGGTGTACTGTTATTGAGGGTATTAGTGGTGGGTGATGCTTGGGGTTGGATTTGAGAGGGTTAAATTAGAGAATGATCTTTGATCAGGTGATTTGGTCAATCGGCGTCCAATCCAACATGGGATGTGCTCCTGGATCCTTGTATGCGACTACTTATTTTTTCTGACAATGTCAGATGCTTCGTATCCACATTCAAACTGGTAAATGACGTGTGATTTCATGGACAGTGGAAGTAGATGTTTTGTGGGCAGAATGGGCATATGTGTAGTTATATGCGATAAGGTTGCATTGGCAGCATTATAAATGCGTTTTACCACATTTTTCAATCAGTGCAGCGAAATCTGCCTCGGCATAAATCATGCAACTCAGCTTTGTTGTGCTGTCCCTTCAGGTTTATCTTGGGAAATAAATGTTTCAGTAAATCCATGTGGCTAAAGTTTACATAATAAAACGATTTGACTTTTCAGACTGACAGGTCCACCATAATACTAATAAACCTAAAGAGGTGATTTTAGTGAATACAGTATCATAATTTGACCTGCCACGATCGGTTGTACATCATGCAAGTCTTGTACAGCCCCCCCCCGCCATTCGATAGAACGGAAACCCATGTAATTTCGGTATCCATGTACCGGCGTGGATGATAGATAACTTTTCGCAATGCAAACATCAAATACAGTTTCTCCACATAACTACAGTTTTGATCGTTCATCAAATCAATCGGGATCTGAGGAATGGATTATAAAACAAATTATTTCGCAAATAAAACACAATCCATCACATCGAAGGATTTTTCATTTGGAAAAGTCAAACGATGCCATGTAGGATAGTGGAGCGCAACTCGCCAAGTAAAGTATTCGCACTACACTGGTATTCGTTTATGGATACCTGAAAAGAAATAAAGAAATCATGATAGATTGACAGGTTACCCACAATCAAGACAAACCAGTGCATTAGAAGGCGTTCAGTGCTCTAGGACAAAATGTAGATTACGCTCAATATGACTGACATTTACGTTGGTACACACATTATTCGTAAATTCAAATAGCTCATATACTTTTGGAAAAAAATGCTCTTTTTCCACAGTATGTATTCCGTTGTATTTGATGAATAATAAATACAATTGTTAGTGATTCCGAATAAAGTAATCCATGACATTCTTTGTTTTTGGTTGACGTTGATTGCGTAACTCAGCTTGCCAGCGGTTTATGTATGTTCAAGTTTTATGAATCGCACTTTGAACCCTATTTTTCTCATAGGTATGAGTTAAAACAGTTGCAGGATATTTTAACATGTAGTAAGGGCACCGGTGCATTGGAACCGATCAATGGCTGCTGTTATATTAGATAGTACGATTTCAATAAAACAATGCCACTAGTTGAATTACGCATAGGTATCGTAAATTATAAATTGTGGCAGTTGCGGAGGCCGTACAACATTGGTCACATCGAGCACCAAATCTTTTCCGGGAGCTTTCTTTTCACAATCAATATTGTCTCTTTTCTCCACGTCACGTTCGAGAACGCATTTAATCCCTGTTCGTCTGCTCGTAATGTTTGACCATGTGATTTACGATGCACACGTCTAAAACTCTTGTGGAATATGTTATTTTTCCCCTAGTATGGCATAACTCCCCTCCTGTGGTCCGTGTACAATAATCACAAGAAAGTTGCCGTGTATTTGATTGAAAGCGGAGCTAAGTACAACAAAGTCACAAAGGTGAGTAAAACCATACTTCAATCTTTTATTTCCTATCGCTTTATGGGTGATAATGCATTTTGCCCTTTTGTATTCCATCTCAGAATCCACGTCGAATTGACTGGGTCATATGCAGTGACAAAAAGTGAATTGTACAGATTATTTTCTTCTTCTTAAAGCAAAATTAACGTATTTTGTCTGTTCAACACATCATCATCATCTACAATTTTGCGTGACGTAATTGGTTCACTGCATTACTGTTTTGTGCCCTGCGATGGCCAAATGGAATAAAACAATTCAATGTTTTACTTCCCACTACTCTGTTTACAGCAAGGTCAAACTATTGTGCACTTTGTCGCGGAGTCGAATGCTATTGGAATCCTAAAGTATCTGTATCAGAAGTATCATCTGCTGGAAATCGATAAAAAAGATAATGTAAGTAGGGTCTGTCATTGTTTTATCTCTCCTCTGATTGTCTTTCAGTGTCTAAGTTACTTCATTTTTTATTACACATTTTAGTGTGATGAACAGCAGACGGAGAATGTCCCATAGTCACGAGGAGCTGCTGTTCAGTGATGGAAAACGATAACCCAACCCCCGGGAATTGGAGTGGCGAACCACATAAGGCCTCAATAGGTTAGGTGTGGTATTGAACCAGGCGACAGCAAAGCTGCCTACCACCAAAGTTGGGTGGCGGTGGCGGGGCTCGAATTTGGAACCATAGGGTCCAAAGCACGCCTGTAACAGTGACTAAACCACTGCACCACCATCACATGCCAATGATTTAAGATTTATTGCGATAGAGGTGTTTCGCGTTCTGTTACACAGTAAAAGTGATGTACAGTGAAGGAACGAATTTTCTATTTATAAAGAACACTTTAGATTTGAAGTGAGGAAAATTAATGCAGGACAGAACTTATTGATTTAGCAGTTGAATTTAGAAAGACTATGGTCAGGAAAGAAAACGGATCAGTGAGGACGCTTTCATGTTTGATTATGGTGCAATCGTAATAAATGTACATATCATTTCTACCAAATTGAATAGGGATAAAAGTTTTCGTTATGAGCAACATGGTCGTGTCTGTTTGTTTCTGTTCGGTAATGGGCATTTTCTACGAGACATCTCATCTGAAAAGCAATAAACAAGTAAAATAAACGATGCAAGATCATTTAATATTCAAATCTGTGATCGACTACTCACTAGAATTGTATTTTCCCTTACACAGGCAGGTTTGACACCTTTCATGGTGGCCGCTTTTCGCGGAAACGAACTTCTACTGGAGGTCTTCATTCGACAAAAATGTCACGTTTTGAACAGGGACAAGGTGAGTTACCGCAATTGTGTCCGAAATGATTGCGTCCACTTGTTCCTGATGCCCTAACGCCAATGAAACATTTAGGTGTTTTTTTCATGAGAAATCGTCCATTTGCTTCAAACCTTGTGTATGGAAGTGTAGACGAGTTTGACTATGACCACCAGATAGCTACTCATAAAGTCACTACTCCCGTTTAAAACACTGTTGAAATGGATGATACCGCTAAAATAATGTGATGAACAAGGGAAAAACAGAGACGTTGCATTACCGGTAAAATGAACAAGCACATGGTTGCACTAAACGGATATATGTTTTCTGAGACTTTGATCTGACTCTGAAATATGTTTAAAAAATTCCGTCAATTCAAAATTTTTCTCCGCGTTTGTGTTATCTGCTCGGTGGTTATTTTATTGTGTCGCTTTGGTCCACATAGTAGGATTACAGATGAAATGCTCAGCCACATTTCCGTAAAATATTGAAGTTCAAAGTTGAACACACCATCCATTTCTACAGTAGATGAACTGAAATCTACAGATTATTTACTACTGTAGTTTTAATATATGTTTTGCATCGCGTTTAGGTAGCTGTCCAAAGAAAATCTCCAGTTATCCGATGCGCTCTAGTCGCTATATGGCTGCGATTGATTTCGCATTCAACCAACTTCCGATTCAAGTGATGCATGCTTTGGTCCATCGTTCTTTTTACAGAAAAACAGAAGTGCTCTCCACTTGGCTTCGTGGAAAGGACATATGGCAGTGGTGAATCATCTGATCAGGATACAAGAGCTGATAGATATCATGAACGACTTGGTAAGATCGACATGTTGCCCTCTCTCCGATATTTTTTATAATCTTGCAATCTGCTTAAACCGTGACTGTACACTTTCATACTAATAGAACACTGATTGGATTTGGTTTAATTTTCTACTCAATTCACTTCCTTTATTGAATGTGGAATAATGTGGATATTGTAAGGAAAAAATAGTTCATGGTAAAATGTAGTAAATTTATTCGGTGGAGAATGCCATATTAGACATACTCTTACATTCAAATGAAATCGACTCCAATTGGAGAGGTCACATACACGAGTCACTTTAGTTACATATTCCAAAAATCTACCACTACACCGTTACGGCTCAGAATGCAGGGTTTCATAACGGAACAGCAGGTTCTCAACGCCAGGATGTTCGATCTTTCCATTTTTATGCATACCGGTGAACTACAACAAAAGCAAGATTAAATTTGATCAAGAGAATTCAAGCCTGTAAATATCCGTGCGATAAATTCAAGTGAGGTAAACCAGCAGAATTGCAAGTTATAAGCAGAAACATCAGTTTGCGATACTTTCTAAATCCCAGGGTAGTGTGCATAGTTCCCATGATTGTGTTCTACCTCTAAATCTATTTCCTGCACCCTCCAANCTCCAAGGCTCTAATATCCCATCAACAAAATGTTTGCTAGACTCAGTGGACTATCAATCACTTTGTACTGTCCAATTTGAGCCTACCGTCTTGTAGTACTCTATTTATCTGCAGTTAAAGCCACTTACAGTTGTATAGACAAAAGATGTTTTACCGAAATATGCGAACAATTTGTCTTTATAATGAATTTCTTTGTGTTCAGCGCAGACAGAGCGTGGAACAAAACTCTAGGAGGCACTGCACTGTTATCTTGATTTGATTCGGTCCTTCAGCAGTGCGAATCCATCGACCCAACTGAGGATCGAGACCT